GAAGGAAGGAAGGAAGGAAGGAAGGAAGGAAGGAAGGAAGGAAGGAATTTCAGTGTGTCTGGGGCAACACACATCAAGAACATGCTGCCTAGTCCCTGGACTTGAGCTCAGACTGTTATGTTCAGATCTTAGGGTCCCCAAAGACCACCAGAAGCCGGACCACGTATGCAGGAGCAAAGAGCTTCACTCAGGCTTAAGCTCGGTCTCTCCACCATGGCAAGGGATCAGAGAGGAGAGCCTTGAGCAGCTGCATGGCAGGGTTTTTATTGGGGTTTGAACAAGAAATGGGAATTTCCAGTTTAACAATTACATGATTGGGTGACATTCAGCAAGGGCAAGCTTGTTCCAAAGTGATTGGCTAACTAACATAACTAACATTGAGCGAGCTATCTGTAGACCTCCTGAATGTTAGGTTGGTGGGCTGCCCAGCACAGATGCCCCACCCTGAGATAAGATACCTTCCCATTCTTGTGGTTGCCTCCAGGCTATTCCTTGGTAGGGAATTTTATGATTTTATTCCTGGAATTGATGATATATGGCCTAGTTCCAGGGACCTATGACTTGGGGGTTGGGGGGGTCAGGCCTGGTCCTCTCAAGATAAGAAGATGCTAGGAAACTATATTCTGCAGTGACCGAGCTTTATGTACTGGGTTTACTTCAGCGGCCTACATGCATGGATGCATAGAGATGTCTATGGGTTTTATTTCTACTTTACTGATACCGAATCCCATCACAAAGAATGAGCATTAGTGGTAACAATAGCAGTCTCAATATAGAAGAATTAGCAGAAATACAATAAATCAGTTCGTGTTGAAGGTTCATTAGTGGGCAGAAGAGATAGCTCAGTGGTTAAGAGCACACACTCTTCTTGGAGAGGACCCACACTTGATCCCCAGCATCCATGTTGGGTGGCTTACCGGTAACTCCAGCTTCAGGGGATCTGACACCCTCTCTGGCCTCCAGGAGCAGCTGCACATATACACATCATTCTTTTCTTTTTAAAATCAAATTCAGTAAAAACTGGGCATAGTCGCATATACCTTTAATGTCAGCTGAGGCAAGGGGATCATGAAATCAGGCCAGCCTGAGCTGGACAGCGAGACTCTCTCATAAAACAAAACAAAAGAACAACAAAACTTGGCTAGGTGTTCTCTGTCCTTTGACCCCCAGTGGTGTCTATTCAGTCTTGGCTATTCTGTCCTTACCTGTCACCCAGGGGGTAACCCCAGCTGTGCATTTTCTAGGAGCCCCTGCCCTCCTAGGTGTTGTGGTGGTGAGTGGCAACCACTGACCTTCTGCTCCCACCATTCTCTAGAGCTGCCAATTTCGGGAACTTCACCTTCATCCAGCTGAATGGAGAATTCTCCCGGGGGAAGGGGCTGGACGTCGGAGCCCGCTTCTGGCGGGGCAGCAATGTCCTGCTCTTTTTCTGTGACGTGGACATCTACTTCACCTCTGAGTTCCTCAACACGTGTCGGCTGAACACCCAGCCAGGTTTGTGTGGCCTCGTTCTCTTTTCTTCAAGCATTGCTCTCTACACACTGCACTCTGAGGAACGAGCATAGGAATGAGGCTCACCTCCCTCCAGTCACAAAGACAAGGAAGGTGACCTTGTTTAATTCATCCTTGGGTGCGGTACAACAGGCCTATCAGGCACACTCATTCTGAGACTCCGTCTTGTGTGCTTTTCTTTTTCTCCTTTGGAAGTCAGATGACTGGGATGTGCACAGGAAACTATACACCACAGGACATGGGCCTACGAGAGCCACTCAGCTCTAAAGAGAGTAAGGGAGCTCTGGGCTGTTACCAAGGCTATGGCTGGAAGAGTCCCCAAATAAAAAATATATATATATATGTCTGTGGATTTAAGCACAGCTGATAAACAGCTAAGAATCTTGCTATGTCAATTAAAATGTGGCAGCTCTTCTGGATATATCAGTAACGAGCAGTTACTCTGAGCCCTCTGTTGCCCAGGGTCTCCCTGATCTCCTTTGCTAGCCTTTACAGTTGTGCTAGAAACCAGTGCTTCAGGGTTTTGTGCACACAGGACAGGGACACCAGGGACACTCAGGACACTTCCACACTTCCACTGACTGCAAACAACTTGCATATTATTCTCATTCTTCGAGGACAGAAAAGCTGAAGAATCAGACTGACTGGTCTAGCTGCCGAGATACTTCTAGGATGTAGTTTAGAGTTGAGTGAAGAGAAAAGGCGGGTGAAAATGCCTGGGCTATTTCAGATGGCTGAATACATAGGAACAAGCCCAGCAGTGGAATGAGTCACTCTCTTAAGCAGATGTTTGCTTTCTGATTTGCAGGGAAGAAGGTATTTTATCCAGTTCTTTTCAGTCAGTACAACCCTGGCATAATCTATGGCCATCATGATGCAGTTCCTCCCCTAGAACAGCAGCTGGTGAGTAATTACTCTGCAGATGCCTGTGTGTGGCTGTTTCGTGTCGCTCATTACTAGGGGCACCTGAGCGTGGGGAAAGGTGAGCGGAAACCTGCAGACCAATCCCCTTGGTGGTTTTTAAGTTTGGCAGGTTCTCTGGCCTTTGCTACAAGTGCCATGTTGATTAAAGGTGCTTGCAATATTTAAAACTGGAAAATAAATAGGAACAGTACCTTACAGGAGGGTAATTTCACACCTTCATAGTTTTCTTCTATCGGTTTAGGAACTTCTTTTATTAGATTATGGCTAGAGCCTGCTTTCTCTTCATCTTTACATGTAGGAAGAAAAATGAGGCTCATGTTCCCATTTCTTTCTTTTTTTTGGGGGGGGGGTGGAAAGCAGATGATAGAAAGGGGTGGATCACCATAGTTACAGCGAGTCAGTGGGGAACAAGGCCCTGAACCTGTCCCCTGGCCGGTCACCCATCCCACCCCATCACTCTGCTACACATCCCTGAACTGGGGCAGATATTGGCATCAGTGATGGTCCCAGAAAGGTAGTATTCAGAGAACTAGTGGAGAGATTTCTCTGCAAAGATCCTGGCTGCATAGGTCATGGAACCCAGGGCCCATTCAATCTTTGACATCACACATAGCTGAAGCAGAACAGAAAATGAGAAATGAGACAAACCAGGAGAGGATCCCCATGCTTCACCAAGGCTATTGTAATCATGTCCCCTTGCCCATGCGGGATAAGCTTCAAGACCCTCACTAGATGCCTGAAATGTGGAATAATATAAATCCATAAATAACACCAAGCCCTGAACGTAGTGTGGCTTTCTCTTATTTCTCTTATACCCACAGTAACATTTCAATTAGACATTCGCAGTGGGAGAGTAACAGCAATGACTAATGATAATATAGAATAATTATAATAAGATCCTAAGATAAGCAAAGCTTACTCATTTCTGGAATTATCCATTTAATATTTTCAGACCTCAGCTGATAACAGGATAACAGCTGATAACTCTTAAACCGTTAAAAGTGTATGTGGCGTTTTCTGTACTGGTGGCTGCCTGGGCACAGAGATAGACCCTGCTCTCACCCCTCTCGGGGTGGTCTTTCCAGCAGGGAGATTATTTTCAATATTTCTGCTTCCTATTAGCAAGCTTGGAAAGACCATGCTTTTCCCACTGAGTACCCTTGTGGGGAGGAAGGAAACGGGACATAGACATGGAGATGGGCTGGAAGACACATGTTCTGTGAGTTCATTTGAGTAGCTGACTTGGTGATAGGCTTTCAGAAGTAGCAAACCCATTTCCTTCAACCTGTTCCCTGCCCTTCACCCTCCCCCAAGTAACCCCTCACAGCTAATGTGACTCTTTACAGAATGTTGCCACTTTGCATGTTTTCAGAGTGAAGGAGGACCATGTCTCATCCATGTCCTAGCATGACATGTATGCTGAAGCCAGAAAGTGCATAAACAGTAGCCTCTTCCTCTGTCAAATACTAGCACTGCAGATGCAGCAGGTGTCTGCGTTATGGCCTCCACTTCTATATGGGCTTTAGAGATGAAAGCAATCCAGTTTCGCAGCCAAAGAAACAGTTTTCTCCTTATGGGCAATAAGTGTCCTGTGGATAGAGGCTTCTGGTTTCCCTTCCCAGGAGCTGTAAGCTTCTTTTGGAACTTTAAGGGAAAATGGGATAAAGTGTTTATTTTCTTTCAACCAATGAGAACAAAAGTTTCTTTGGTTTTAAATAAAGCTCCGTTTTACATTTGACATTGGAAATGATTTTTTTTTTTTAGATCAAACTCATAAAGGCATTATTTGCTTGTAAGGAATTTTCTTCATTCCGTAATCTAAATGTTTTTTTCCTTTCTAGTTCATCCTGCAGAAAGCAGGTAGGATGGAAGGCAGAGAGATAGCACAGAAGCAGGCGTGCCAGACCCACCGAATAAGCAATCCAGGCAGAAATAACTCAGATTTCCCATTGCCAGGACTAGCATCCCTGAATCACCCCACAGCTTTCGGTATTGATTTCTGACGGCATTGATTTCTGACGGCATCATTGACCTCTCCTCCAGTTCATAAAGCTGCTGTTGCAGAGCTCAGTGTTTAACAATTATCTAGTTCAGTGAAATGCAGCAATTTGTAGGACTCCCAGCCCCCAGGGAAATGCAGGATTATGTCCTTCGTTAGACATGTCATTTTTTAAATTTTATTTTTACTTATATGTAAGGTCATAAGAGGGTATAGATCCTTTGGAGCTGGAGTTATATTTGATGAAGGTGCTAGGAACAAAAACTAGGTCCTCTGGAAGAGCAGCCAAACCTGTTTGCCACTGAGCCATCTTTACAGACCCCAGATGAACTGTATCACTTATTGCCTATAAAGGTCCGGTCCGGATCCTGGTACAGGAGTCAGAAGAATTGCAATCGTTTTATACACTCAGAAGCAATTGACCAGAGATCCTTCAACCACCCTTCATAGAGACAGAATGACTAGGCCAAAGGCTTCATGCTCGGTGGCTAGAGAGATGGCTCAGTAGAAAAGGGCTTGCTATGAAAGCGTGAGAATCTGAGTTCAGGTCCACAACCCACCTCAGACAAGGGTGACACATACCTGAAACCCCAACACTGGGGATATGACAGAGCCATTTAGATCTTGACAGGGGAGGTGTGGCAGTCACAAGCCAGAAAGTGTAGCCCAAACTTCCAGCTCCAGGTTCACTGGAGAGCTTGTCTCAAAAACTAAAGTGAAGAGTGACAGAGGAGGACAACCTCAGGTCTCTACAGGTGCTCTGTAGAGCACCCACATGCAAAGGTGCAAGCACAGGTGGACACTAGCACACCTGAGCACACATGCACAAGCGCCCAAAGTTAACATTGCAACCCCTCTGAGTGACAGAGCTCAGCCCCCGCCAGGATGTCCCTCCTCTCGAGCAGTGGACGAGATCTGCCGAGCCTTCTCAAGAGAGCTGAGGTGTGAAGGAAATGGCCTAACAAGAATTCTAGAGGCAGACATCAAACTGCAGGAATTAATATAGCAGAAACAGAATGTGTAGGTGGCAAGACACCATAAAATAAAAAGTAATGGCTGGAGATGAGTAAATTAGGAGAGATTCCCTCCTGAGGTTGCATTTTGGCTCAATCTAGAAGGAGACTGTGGGTATTCAAAAATCCTTGATAGCCTTCCCTGGAACACATCAGTACCTCGGATGAGAGGGGGAAGGTGTGTTCGGAGCAGGGCTGTAAAAAAGGTCCCTTATGCAAACAAGAGACAACCTTTCCCCGCAGCCCCGTAAATATAGCCTCCTGCTCAGTCTTCCAGTTATGAGTTTGCATGGCTATCAGCCCTGTCATTTTCTGTTTTGCCTGCAATGAAAGCAAGGATTTTAGTATGTGTACTGATGACATGTTTTTAAAAAAAAAAACCGGTGCATATGAGCCATTAGTAATAAGTGACACCGTGGGATTTCAGACTAATATTTAAATTTTGGGTTTTAAACCATGAAATGAAACTTGCTGGTACTTTAATGCAGGAACAACATGCTGAGGGAGGAATGACTAATTTGAATCAGTGTCCACTTTAAACATTCCACCTTGCTGGCTCAGCCTGTCGGTTCCTGCTCAGGCCCTTGTGGAAGCCTCCTACTTCTCCTATCTTTAGGTTTCGACCCTCCCCACACTCCAATCTTCCCTCACTCTCTGCCAGAGACTGGTTTTGAATAAACAAATTAATTCCACATTTTAAAAAAGCATTCATGGCATAAAGCCAATGGTATGGTGGCAAATGTTTAGCAACCACTCTTGGAAAGAAGAAAAAATAATGTCCTGGTGATGATATTTGTCAATTTCCATGGTGTAAATAATCCCTTTGTGGCTTATTTTGGGCTTTCCAGTGTGTTACCACAGGGCAAGTGCTCAAATCTGGTGAGCCAGTATGGGCTGGCTCACAGGGCTGCCAACTCTGATTTCTTGTTGGGACTGGTTGTCCTCCATAAATCAGCTCAACCCGCTTGTAGAGAAAATGCCAGCAAATCCCTCCAACTTGGCAGATGGTGCCAACTCCATAGACCCCCAAGTCAGCCTGCCATTGTGTGGTGCACCTGCTCACAGGCTCAGCATGCCGTTCTTGTTTCCCCAGACCACCATCTTACCAATTTTGGTCTCTCAGTGTTCGATGCAGACATCGCAGTGGCAACTGTCACTTAAGGCTGCTTACTTTTGTGACACTGTTAAGTTTATGTGGCTCACTTGTCCTCCTCATCCTCTCTGTTTACACCCAAACCTCTTTACACACCTCAAACAGTTGCTGTGTGAACGCAGAAATTGATATCAAGTGTCTTCCTTGACCACTATCCTCCCTAGTTTAATTTATCTTTACTATTTTATAATGTGTTAGGTAGTCATATTTTTCTGCCTATTTCCCTCTCTTATGCTAGTCCTATTCTCTATGGGTTCCTGCTTCTTCCTTCTACCTTATTTTTTGAGACAGGGTCTCTCTCAATCTCAATCTCTTCCTCCCATTCTTTTCTCCCTTTCCTCCTTCTTCCTCTTCTCCTCCCACCCCTGCCACCTTTTAATATGTAGCTCATTGATCTATTTGGACAATGGTGGGTAGAGTTAGAGACACACTTCTTCACCACACCTGGCTCTTTGTATGAGTTTTACGGCTCTGAACTCAGCACTTTGTACTTTTGAAGCAATCACTTTACCAGGAAGCCATTTCTCAGCTCCTATGTTAGTTGGGATTTATTTTTATTTGGGGTTTGAGTTACTGACCATTCCATCCACTGACCTGTGCTTCAGTTTTTAGCATTGCCAGCTGAGCAAATTCTATGCAGTGTACCCTTACAGGCTTGGAAAGCATACCCTTACTAAAGAGCAAAAGTAACCAGATGCCACCTGAGACTCTCTCATTGTGACCATGTAATTTTCAGCAAGGGCAAGTGACATCAACATCTCAGTTCACACATATGGAATTCCATGCTCAGAGGGCATAAGTTCCCTAGCTCAGACTCCTGCAGGGGCTGAGTGAGAGAGGGACAGACGTGAGTGCCACACTGTGGGACTAAGCTTGACTGAAAATGAGGAGGTGAAGGAAATGTTTTCTTTGACTTCAATGTGCTTCAAGAACCAAGACTCTAGATCCCAGAAATGAGAGACCTGAAGGATCCATGTCCAGCCTGGAGACATTAGAAAACAAGGTCATCCTTTTTTTAAGAAAATGAGACTCCGTGGAGATGTGGTAGGATATGAGATTTGAGTCTATTATTAAATAAATTCTGGGCACCTTGTGCCTCCAGAATATATTATTTCTTAAGAAATTAAACTAGGATCTTCATGGGAATCGTTGCCCTGAACTCTGCTGCAACAGACTGAATGAATGTGAGCAAATCATTCCGCTTCCTTCTGAAGAGGTCTCTCAAGAAGAGGGCACATAGCCCTCACCCTGCAACCGTCTGCAGAATTACCACTGGCCCTTTAGGTCCCAGATAATAAAGAGTGCACACTGCATGGTGAGACCTAGAAATTGCTGCATTTATCTAGTATTCATGTGCAGGGCCTGCTATATCCGTAGACTCTCTCAGAACAAACCCAAAATGCAGACCCTTGTTCCAAAAGTGTTCAGAATTTAAGGCTGGCTGAAACCAAGCATGGGGTCCTGTGTAAGTTTGTGGGCCAGGTGCCTGTAAACATGCCCAGCTCCTAGCCATTCCTAGGACATAGTAGTCTGGTCAGACCTGATTTGGTTCTTGGGAGACGCTCTTTGATTTAGAGAGAATCCTCTGCTGGAATTCTTTGTTACCTGCTTAATTTTAAGATGCAGATTGCTTCATCGGCAGCTGTCTGACCCAACATCAGGAAGTCACAGAGGCAACTAGTGCCTGTCAGTCTGGGAGTTTCAGGGTCAGGAAATAGGACTGTGTAGAGAAGTGATTCCCAATCTGTGGGTCACAACCCTCTTGGATTAGGCAACTCTTTTTCAGGGGACACCTAAGACCACCAGAAAACACAGATATTCACATTATAATTCATAACAGTAGCAAAATTACAGTTATGAAGTAGCAATGAAAATAATTTTGTGGTCGACACAGGATGAGGAACTGTTGCAGCATTAGGAAAGGTTGAGAAGCACTGGTGTAGAGGCTTGAGGAGGAGCAGAGAAGGAGGAAGCAGGTAGGCCAGGGTGGAGCAGAAACCCATTATGGCTCTTGTAGGGTCTTCAGCAGTAGCATGATGCAATCCCACCAGAAGAGAACTAACTCGGATCCATTTCTACTCAGCTTCTCCCCAAGGCCCACAATCCAGTTAGCAACTTGGCCCAGCAATGGTAGCAGAACCTCTAATAAGCGAAATCCATCTTGCCCTGAAATTAACTGCTGTGACACAACCATATCGGTTTCCACAAAAGACTATATTTCAACGACTTCTTCCCAGAGTGGCTTTCTGTGGCTTACCAGCTTTAAAACCAACTAAATACCTGTTTCTACACCGCAGCCCTGCGCCATCAATCCATGTGCTTCTATTACATGGCTCCAGCTGAGGAGCACCCTTCCCTCTGCGTCCTTCAGCGCACCCTTGATTCGGCCCAGATTGTTGCGACAGCCGCTGCTTGGGCGAGCCATCATGCCTTTTCCTCGGTTCTACCTGATTGTGCTTCCAGGACAGAGCTGTCTCTTTCATACCCTAACCAGAGGACGCTTCACTTCCACTTCATGTCCATAAGATCCCGGGACAGTAGAAGGGCTACTAAGCCATTAACTGCAACAGAAAAAGTTTTCCTGACTTGCCAGAGAAGAAACAAAATCCATGTAAAATTTACTCAGTGGAGGTGTCTCCAGACTTTCTTGCCTTATACAGTCCTTTCAAACTTCTCTGGTTTCTACTGGCACATCTTTTGTTTTGTTTGATGATGGATGAGCTTCACCGGGGTTGCTTGCAAGGGCCTGGGTGAGGATTATTTACAGGAGTATGAGCACCTTCCCAGTGCCTACACTACTGGTACAGATCCCTTTTCCTTCCCCAGCAACCATTAACTGCAAATAAATCCTTGGGGAGGTGCAGGTGGGACTCCGTGAGCTCCTCCCACTCTGTGACAGGAGGCTAAGGAGCCTCATCATGAGCAAGTCCTTGTACCCATAGCATGACATAGCCTTTACACTACTGAACTCTGGGATAAAAGAATGTTTAAGAGCCATTAACTCTTTGCAAGACGTTTATCAGATACAATTTAGGGTGTAGGAAGGTTCTAGAATGTGGAATAACAGCAGTGTTATAAATGAGCTGGAAGACTCTGACTGTGATTTAGCTCAAGTCTTCATTGTACAGGATGGATAACAGGACCTGGAAATAGAGAGGCCTGTTTGAGATGAAAAGAGTGGCCAGTACCTCTGTGAGAGTGGGAGAACTGAGCCTGCTCCCTGCTCGCTGCAGCATTGGGCAAGGTAGGTAGGGCAGCGCCGGAGAGCTCACACTGGTGGTTCCGGTTCAGGGAGCTGATGGGCTAACTAGCTCAGCCACTACCCCGGCCCAGATGGAGGGCTCTCAGTTGGCCCACCCCTAAAATCCACCCCGTCTATGAACTGCTGGAGCGTGTGAAAGGGCCGGTCCTGCAGATGCAAAGCTGCAGGATCTCTGTGACACAGCATCAACAGGATGTCTGACAGGAGTCCTGGTGAGGATCCAGTGTTGGTGTAGCAAAAGCCAGGGGCCCAAACCTAGGCCAATGACTCCCTTCAAGGAGCATTTGCAAGTGAAAATGTGTGAGCAGGGATGTGCTGCGGGCACACTGTGACACACGCCTGCTTCTGTGGCAAGATGCTTCTATGCTTTGTGCTGTTGGTCTTGATTTATTTTATTTATTTACTTATTTATTTGTCAGTGATGGGGGTTGCAAGGGCAGAGGACAGGTATGAATGAATGGGGAGATGAGTGGGGCAGGGGTGCATGATGCAAAACTCACAAAGAATGAATAAGTTTTTTTTTAAAGAAGGGTGGCCAGTGGAGCTGGGGCAGGCTGCCTCTCCTTTCTAACGAACTGTTACAAATGAGCACCACACAGCCAGGCTTCCGGGTAGAGACCCTCCTAACATCTGTTTTACTCCCACAAGCAAGGAGACTGTCTATCTTCTAAGCACCTATGGGGAACTACAAAGAGTGTGTGTGTGTGTGTGTGTGTGGTGCATGTATGTATGTGAGCAAGTGTGTGTGCAGTTGTGTGTGTATGCCTGTATGTGAGTATGTGTGTGTGCATGTGTCTGTGTGTGTATAGTGTGTATGCCTGTGCGTATGTGAGTCTGTGTGTGTGCATGTGTGTGTATGTGAGTGTCATGTGCACATGCGAATACATATTTTTTATGTATTGTTACCTCAGCACGGTCGCTGGAAACTTACTCTGATGGAAAGTTTCTCTAAACCTCGCAGAGCCAAGCTGCTCTGTTTTTTCCCCATCACAGCTGGGACGGGCCCTGGGCCACACTGCGGGCTGGCACTTCCAGCATGATCTTCCTGGAGTAGCTTCATCCATTAGACCTACTGTCTCCTCAGCCAGCCTGAGGTAGTGGGGGCCAGAGACAACGGGATCTCTCTGGGGCATTTCTGCTCTTTCCCTGTTGTTGGCCTGTGAATTCCACACTGTTCCCAAGCCCTCATCTCAACTTCCTGAGCCCTTTGCTGGCTCCGTTCCCAGGCCTGTGTGAGGGGCCTGACCTCACTTCTCCCTGGCACTGGGACCAGGCCAGACACGTAGGTGGCTTTTCCATGGCACTGCTCAAAGAACTTGCTCTTTGAGATTGTTTTTGGTTCTGTGTGAGAGAGAGTGTGTGCATGTTTTAATGCCTACACCCTAGAAACATCCTGGCCAGAGGTGCCAAAAATCACAAAGCCCCTTTTTGGACTTAGCTTATTGTAATTCCCTTTGGTGTATGTGTGCACACACATGCATGCGCATGCACACACACACACACACACACACACACACACACACACACACCTCCATCTTGCCTATTTGTTGGCATGGGGCTCAGTATTGACCATGGCTCACTTAAGTGTGTAATACTGGTTTTGTATACTCTCCCTGACTTTTTTTTTTTTTTCCTTCACAGGTCATAAAGAAGGAAACTGGGTTTTGGAGGGACTTTGGATTTGGGATGACCTGTCAGTACCGGTCAGACTTCATCAACATAGGTGAAATAAAACTTTGTGTCTACTGCCACCTGGAGGCCACTGTCCCTCAGGCCAGGAGAGACTGCGGGTTCCCCCAGTAAAGCTGCTGCCATTTCCACAAACAATGCTGCCCCTTGGGTCATGGGTGGCAACACTTGGGCCCCTGTCATGTATACCAGCCCCTCTCAGGTGTACCCGGTACCACTCAGTTTTAAAACGGCAGCACTCAAGCAAGTTCTGTGAGGCCTCTCCTCTGTGGGTTCTTGCTGTGGAACCCACTAATAGGGACAGTGAGGAAGCAGAAGGCAGTCTGGGAAAAGCACATATAAAGAAGATTTGTTTTACTCTGATGATCCTTATTAAGGTCCCATTCATCACTTTAATCTCTGAGTAGGCAGTTGCTATCAAGATAAACACACGTGTGAACATGTCCACATAAACAAGCACACTGACATGCGTAAACACAGAGATATAGACATGGGTATAATACACATGCACTCATTGACACACATATGTATGAACACATACACACAACACATACAGACTCACAGACTTATAGACACACATAGCCACATAGATACAGACACATGCACATGTATACAGACATGCAGACATACACATACATACATATCTATGCATAGGCACACCTGAAATGTACACAGGCACACGCATACGCATAGAAGCTTAAGTGAACACATTTATAAACATATATGCACCTGCCAACAGGATTCCAGAACTCAGGAAGGAAAGACCCATAGGTTTTAGCAGAAAAGAGCAAAGTGCTCAGAGGCAAAGGGGTTTCCTTCCTGGAGCCTCACAGCAAGTGGGTGATGATGCATGAACTGGGTTATGCATAGCTGGGAAAATAAGGGATGGATCCAAAACCTTGACTTGCGATCTGAGGGGCCAGGGAACCCTTCTCTCTGGGATAGGCTTTAGATTAAGAAAGAAGTATTTTCTGTATGGTGGTAAATGCCTGTAATCCAAGCACTTGGGAGATAAAGGCAGCAGGATCTGGAGTTTAGTTATCCTTGTATACACAGTGAATTTAAGGTCAGCCACAGCCACTAGAGACCCTGGCTAAACAAAACGAAAAGCAAGCCAAAAGGCATGTCACTTTACCAAGGAGACTTAGTCTGACAGGGGCTGGCCTTGGCAGGAGGCCAATATGCAGTTCTCCGGGCAAGCCTCGGAACTGGCTGTGAAGCAGAGCCCTTCAAAACGAGCCAGCAGCCTACGGAAGCATGCACAGGAAGGTTCAGGACTGCTGTAATCTAGGAAAGAAAAGGTTCCTTCATGGGAGTGTTTTTTCTACACCAAGCTCCCATTTAACTCATTTACCCCACAAACCCTGAGTCTATTCTGTGGCAGAAGTGTGCCACACCCAGACAGAAATACAGGGCTTGAATTGCAAGGTGTCAAGTTGAAAAGGAGGGATACCTTTGAAACTCTTATTCCTGGGCCAGGGCTATTCGGTAGTACTGCTGATGGCTCATCCAAGCAGCCCAGGTCTTAGAATCCTGACTAATGGCTTGTTATGTGAAGAAGTTTGCACTGTCTGCCACAAAGATCATTCCTGATGGCCACATCCATCCATAGTGTAGCCCACATGGGCACCAGAAACTTGGATGCATGGTGCTTCAAATAGCCCCTCCCATGAATACCTCCATAGCGTGTGGATGGGGGTGGAGTGGAGACCAGGGGACACCCCCAAATATCATTTTTCAGGTGTCGTCCACAGTTTTATTTTGGGGACAGAGCATCCATTGACCTGGAACTTGTCAAGCAGGCTAGGTTGGCTGGCCTGCAAGCCCCTGTCAGCCACCTGCCTCGGCCTCCCTCATTCATGCCACCCTTTTAAGGTCTCCTCTTGGCTTTAAGAAAGTTTTCAGTGAGTATTCTGGGGCATTGAACTCAGTTACTCATGCTTACGAAGCAGAGCATTAAACCAATTGAGCTATCTTCCTGGGCACCTCCCCCCCCCCCACACACACACACATACCCACACCCATGCCTTTTGAGGAAAAGTCCATGGAAGCCAAGTGCATGCCACACAATTCAATAGCATGGTGTGTTCCCACAGGTGGATTTGACCTGGATATCAAAGGCTGGGGTGGTGAAGATGTGCACCTGTACCGGAAATATCTCCACAGCAACCTCATAGTGGTGCGCACGCCCGTGCGGGGACTGTTCCACCTTTGGCACGAGAAGCACTGTATGGATGAACTGACTCCTGAGCAGTACAAGATGTGCATGCAATCCAAGGCTATGAATGAGGCATCCCACGGGCAGCTGGGGATGCTTGTCTTCCGGCATGAAATAGAGGCTCACCTTCGCAAACAGAAGCAGAGAGCAAGCAGTAAAAAGACGTGATCTCCCAGGAACAGATCAATGGACACAGTTAAATCTTTTGCCTTTGGCAGTTCCTGAAAAAGTAGATACAACAAGGTATAGACTTCCACAAAGGGCAACCCAGAATCTGACTGATGAGGAACAGAAATGAAAGGAGAGAGGCTCTGGTTTCTGTTGGCTCTGTGTAAGGTGACTGTGGCTGTGTTTACAGCAAAACGATCTCTCCTGCCCCTGCTTGCTGAAATATTCACAACCTCAGACCAGTTTTGTAAAAAGTTTACGAGAATGAGACGGAAGCACACTGGCTTCTCTTCTTAGACCTGGTTACATCAAAGGGCTCTGGTACCCAGGACTACCAAAGTCTCAGAGAAGGCAGAGGACTGTGTGAAATGTGGAAATCTGACATCAGCGTCCTGCGGGAGACAGCAAAATCAAAGGGACCTGGAAGCAAACCATGGCAATACTGTCATCCCCCCAGTATTAACCAAAAAGTAACCCTGTCTTCTCTGTTATCTTTTAGTCATCTCTATTCTAAAAATGCACTTTTTTTTTTGCTTGTGAGTATTATGCTTATTTAACAACCTACTGCAAGCCTTAGTAGGAGCACATTGTAATATATACACTTTTTTGACTCTTAAGATTTTTTATTTTTTGTTGTTCTTGTTGGTTTGTTTACTTGAGAGAGTCTTGACACAGAGCCTGAGCTAGCCTTGAAAACATGATCCTCCTGCCTCAGCAGCATGCGTGCTGAGATTACAGGCATGCACCACCACGGCTGCCAAGAGGACATCTCCAGATGTGTGTGGTGAGCCCCTTCAGGTGCAAGATCTGGGAGCAGATCTGAGGACTCGCCAAACTCAGACACCAGCAGGCTACATGTGGGACTGCAGAGAGAAAGGGATCTGGAAGCTATCTAAGTCTGTCTGGAGAAAGGAGAAGACACCTTTACCTTTATAAAAAAGGGCACTAGTAAGACCTTGGTGTGTTTGCTAGGGAACATGCTTTCTCCTCTGGAGAAATGGGGACCACTTTCTTACCTGTTTGAATAAACCAAAGTTATGAACCAAACAATCGCTTTTCAAAGCAGGGTGCTCTTCCTGGTCTCTGGCTTCCATGAGAAGAAAATGCAGGAAATATATACACGTATTTTGGAAGACCGATCCATCAGTCCAGCGAGATGGAAGGTTCTGCCACATTTTCACTCACTCCCAGCTATGGGGAAGAAACTTATTTCTAAAATAAGCAATGTTACTTGGTTGCCAAGAAGCTCCTGAAGTTTGCATTTTCTTACAACTTCAAACTTTAAAAAAAAAATAAATATGGTTAACAGTGAGTGGTTTCTACATCCATGTGCAAGTTATTGATTTATTAGCCAGCACCAGATGCATGAGCTAATTACCTCTCCTGTCTCCGTGCCTTCTGTTTGCCCACAGTGAACTCATTGTTTAACTGCTTTAAGAACACTCAAGCTGTGTGTTTAAAAAAAAAAAAGCATTGTATTGATTTGTACTGGTGGTTTATAAAATTTAATTAAAACACAAGATGTGAATGAAAGGTGGCATCGCACAGCCAATAAAATTTGTGAGTTTGATTTCTTCCTGGAATAAGAATGCATGTCTTAGTTTGAGAAAATTCTTTTGTGCATAGATCAGGTCTTCCCTGCATTGGCATTGTTGAAATTTGGAGCTTGATCACTTGGTGGGGGAAGGGACTAGCCTGTGCAACATCCCTACAGTCCATCTACTGTCCTGTGAACGGACCTACAGTTGCCCTACACATTGAAAGCCAAGGGCATCTCCCACTCAGCATTTGACACCCAAAATGTCTTCAGTCATTGTCAAATACTAAAGGAATGGGAACATGACCCCTGGCTGAGAAACACTAAGACAGAATGAAAAACTTGAAAGAAATTTTAGTTAGATGAAATTGAAAAATGACTTCTGAAACTTCTTTACATGCTGCCTATGTGATTTTTCACATGCTCTGGTGATTTTAGAGCCTTCAGAGCCTGTGCTGTTTCCCAATACTGGTCCTGATGGACTTGTGACTGACTCTTGCTAATATTGTCACAGAGTCAAGGGGCTGAGATCTCCCAAGAACAGAGGCATTGAATTAAACAGGCCCATATGTCTCTTGGTGCTGCAGTCCCTGGATGACTTCAGGATAATCAACTTTTGAACTTGTTCATAGTGTATGTTCCAGATGCCCACAACACTGAGTAAGATTTGTACTTGTTTCTGGAGACAAGGTCACACCTTGTAGACCAGATGGGCTGAAACTCACAGTGCTCATTCAGCCTCAGACTCTCGAGTTCCTGGGTTATAGTTGTATACAAGCACACCTGGCTAGGAATTTGTTTAGACAGTTGCTGAGAGAACCAGGCAAAAGGCTCAGTAGGTAAAAACAGAAGGCTCAGATCTCCCCTAGCCCCAATACTATAAAGATGGAAAGCAAAGATGAGAGTATCCTGGGAGCTTGTGTCTAGCTGGCTAAAACAGCATGCTCCTAGGTCAGTGGGAGACAAAAAGTAAATAAAGAAATAATGCTTGTGAGAATGGAGAAAGACACTCAATATTTGCAAACACACTGAGGGTCCATCATTAAGTCCATTATTTTGTATGATAGTTTGAGAAAATTATCATAATTTTAAAATTATCATAATTTTTAAAAGTCTAATTTCAAAAGTCACTTGAGGGTAACTGAAAATGATAATAAGCTTTTTTTTCAAGCTTAGCTTAGTTGCAGTTGCAACTTGAAATGTCCTCTGAAGCCTCATCTGTTAAAGGTGTGGCTGTCAGTAGATGGACTCTTGGGGAATGAATAGATCCTGGGATCTCCAACTTCATTATTACATTCATACTTTGTTAATCAATACTTTATGACATTCATAATTGATGGCGGTAGAAAGCAGGGAGGTGAAGTCTTTGGAGAAAGAAGATCTAGTCCTCGTCCTCTGAACTCTTCCTCTTTTCCTGTCCACCTAAAGGAAACTATAACCCCAACCTTATGTAAATGAAGGTTAGGGAGGCCTTGCTACACCTAACTAAAGGGCTGAAATTCAAACTTAGCAAAGGAAAGCAAAAAGAAACTGATTGAAGAACTTAGGTCTATTACCTCTTGCAAAGAAAGGACACTGGCAAATGTCTAGCCTGTCCAGGGCCCCTTTAAGCTTTGTGAATACTTACTCTATTTCTTGTCTCTGTATGTTGCCTAATGACCAGTCTAGTTATCTTCTAATATACTTGTGGTCCCAACCCAGACTGCCACTTGCTGTTGTGTGAGCTGTTAGCTGTTCTTCGAACTTTCTTTGATGGCAGGTTGAACCTTGTAAATCAGAGCATTTACACCTCAGGAACTGGCAGCTAATGCAACAGATCAGGCTTCACAACCTCCAGCCACCACCCCAATCCAATCTGTTGTTAGATATTTGTCAACAAATATTGATTCCAAGCCACATACCTCACCGCCTTGTGCTGGATCTCTCCAATCTTCTACTTTCCAGTGCCTGGATCCGTAAGTGTGGACACCTGCCTTCTGCCACACTAGGTAAGTAGCTCCCAGACTTTTAACTGTTTGTTTCAGGAAAAGCCCTCTATGATTTTATCTATTCATACCAGGGGAGGGGAGCATGTGGTAGCTGTTATGGCTTCTACACTGAGACCACCAGTACCTAAGTTCTCATTCTTTCACTTGCAGCTTAAATGGTTTAAGACGAGTACCTCCATATCTCTATGAATGCCAGTTTCTTCCTTTAGCATGATGAATACAATCACAACTATAGTCTACAATTGTTTCAGAGTTGGATGAGTCAATGCAGATACAGTACTTAGGACCTGGCCAGCACATAGGATTTGTTTTGTTTACACACTATGTCTCTGGACAGTGTTGAGCTTCTCAGTACGGCCCACACATCTTACACATAATCAGGAGTCCACTGTAAGCCATCCATTTGAGATTATGAAGCCACTGTGGACTTTTATCCTTTGTTTTGTTGTTCTAAAAAGTTTGTGAAAGAAAAGATGTAGTATGAGTGTAAAATATAACACATAGTTACCATTCAATTCCAGTTAGGTGCTCAGTAATTTAGGGTTGATGAGACAGCTTAGAAAAAAAAAATCTTACATTCAGAATAACTTCTAAGGTGAGTAATAGCAAGACTTCCATTTCCAGGTGCATACAATTGAAGCCAAGAACTGTTAAGAGACTGGCCCAGACACTGACTGGCTTCAGGGCTTCAGATGTCATCATTCCACCCTGGGGAGCTCCAGATGGTGAGATCCCACAGGAAGGAAGTTTGCATGCAGCAAGTCCAAACCTTAGTGCCCTTTGTGTCTTGTTTTCACTGTTTCTTTTCTCTACCCCCACGTAAGAAACACAGGAATGAAACTTGTTGACACAGCAAACTAGGACGAGCTGCACAGTGCAGACACCTGCATAGCTCCAGCTTCAGTGTAATTATGAGCTGGGCTGGGACTGTGTTTGAGATGCAAGCCTCAGGATCAGCCTCTTAGTCAGGATCTGGAAGAGGTGAGATTTAAAGTCTCTCTCAAATAGAAGGTTAGAGGGAGGAGGAGGCCCCTCCCCCTTTAAATCCTGTTTAAAGAGAAACTGTTCCTGAGAGTTGCTGATGAGATAATGACCTCAGGAGTTCCTTAGGAGGGCAGGTATGCTTCGCTCCGGGCACATAGATGCCTGAGCTCCCTGTGAATACATTCTGATTAGCTGTGTATTATCATTCAAAGCTGTTTTTCCTGGCTGGCAAGACTCAGGATATGCTGTTGCTGCCAAACAGCTATGGGGTCTGTGCCAGTTGGTTGGGGGGATTTGGGTTTTTCCCAACACATAGACCATGTTATTTCCTGTCCACAGAGATACCTTCCAAATGCTGCCTTTGAAGGTGCCCTCTGCACAGGTCAACCCCAGCAGTCCCTGGCCCTTCTCCGTTGGCAATTCTAGTAAGAAAGAAGACAGAAACCATGGAGGAGGAATTAGGAAGGAGGTAGTAGGAAGGAATGGAGAATGTCACAGCCTGGGAGGGCAGAACACCATTGGGAGAAAAGTTAGGCCATGATCCTGCCTTCATTGTCCCCCAGCATTCATCAAGGACCCGAATGGGGAGGATGGGTGCCCTGCTAGAACTAGCCAAATGTCCATGACTCTGGTGGGGGTGGTCAGGAGAACTACACGTATTCTTCAGCCACACTTTAGGCTAAAACGAGGTAAGCACAGTGCTGCTGGTACTTCCCTCTACCTCAGTTCTTAGCCCTTGCAGCTTCTAAATCTGCCACCAGCTCAGCCTCCGACCCATGCTGAAAACCTACAACAAGCACCTTGTCCACTGAGACCTTAGCACCCATTTGAAATACATTTAAACATTTGAAACAAAGATAAAACAAAAAATAGAATATCACCCAAAGTAAATTTAAACCAAGCCTGAAGGAAATGATTTTTCATTTTTTAATCTCCTGTAACTAGTCTCAAACAGAGTTATACAAAGACAACACCCATAGTGTGCGCTGAGGGGGGCTATCAGGACAGCCAGAGTGACCTGGGGGAGAAGCATGTGCAGCTTTCTTTCACATCATTGAAAAAGACCACCCAGGAAAAGGCACTGACGTTTTGTTTGGCTGTTGGGGTACAGTGGGGGTGGGGGTGTTACTGGGATTTTGACTTGGTAGGAAGTCTATGAAGTGGAGTAACTTTTCAGCTGAGGAGAACTCAGCGCACTTGGATGGACTTGAGCAATGGGGCTAGTCTGCTCCATTAGCAGAGGGTGCAGTCCTGGTACCACCTGACCTAGCAGGGAGGCAGGCAAGTATGCTCCAAATTCATAAGTCTCCTCAAAAAGGAGGTGTTAACTTGGGCGGGGGGTAATGGTTAGGAATATCTAGGCCACTGAGACAATTTGACAACTGCCAGTAACTACTGTTAACCTTGGCATTGTCAAAATCACTAGAAAAATATTTCTCCCTTCCCATGCCATTTAAAATCCATGTTAGCCAGTCCATTTCTCTTTAGGTCGACTAGCTAGTGTTATGTATGGATCATTATTACAGCCTCAACACTTCACAAGCTTCCCTTGTCCCTTAAAACTTTTCCCCAAACTCCAGGCAAGTGGCCATTAGGAGGCATGGCCCATTGGTTATATAAGCTGGGTTAATAAAGGAACGCTCACAGTGGTTACCGTTAAAGAGCTTTCGCTGTGCTGGACACTTCATAACTCTTTTCTAATCTGAAGTCTCCCAGGTGACTTCAGTAACTCATCTTAGAAGTAAGAGCTCATGCAGCTTTAGCAAAATTTTTGTTCCTATGTTCCCCATGGCTAACTGATGACACAGGCCGGACACAACCCCAAGCCTGCTGGGATTTCTTTCTGTTATGTCAAGCTACTTCATTATCCAATCAAATATATTTTATCAAATGTTAAAGAAGAGGAATCTCATCATGTAAGCCCCTTGATGGTTTTTAATTTCGAGCAATAGAAATAAGCCTCTGCAAAGATAGACAGGTTACTCAGCATCCTGCAGACAAATTTGTTGCTGTGAAGTGCCCAGAGCAGAGCATAGAATTAACATGATGGAAAATCCAGTTTCTCCCTCTGCAAGGTTAGAGATGACCAGCTCTCTCCTAACACACAGCAGAAAGGAGGGATGAACACATGAGAAGACTGGGAAAATAGAAGTCAAGGAAAGAGAAACCTGAGTATGGCTTATAGCTATTCCTCTATTCCTAAAGAACAGGAAAGTACAATTTAAACAAAAATATTAAAGATATAATTGTGGAAGAGCTTCAATTATAATGGGGGGACGCTACATTCTAAGAAAGACAAGTGTAATGCACCTTGAAATAAAATAATTTACCATGTTCTCAAGAAAAACTGAAGCAATGAAGTCCCAAGGATATATACCCATCATTCTATAAATATTTTTAGTGTATTCTGTACTTAAAATACTGAAAACCCCAAGCTACATATGTGCGTGGATCACAAATATGCCTAGATTAGTGCCCTAAAAAGAAGACCTTCATAGAAAGTAGACATTGCAAACATTTAGGCCACAAAGGTTTTCTTTTCACCTCAAAGCAGTTCATGCTTGTACTGTTCAGTTTTGTTGTTGTTGGTAGTGGTGTTTTTTTGTTTTTGGTTTTGGTTTTTGAGTTTTGGTTTTTTGTTTTTGTTAACTTGACACAAGCTAGGGTTATCAGAAAAGAAGGAAACTCAATTAAGAAGATACTTTCATTTGACTGGCTTCAGGGCATTTTCTTGATTGGTGATTGATATGGGAGAGCCTGACTCACCATGTTTGGGCAGGTGATTCTGGGAGGTATAAGAAAGGGAGCTGAATGTGAGCCTCAGAAGAAGCCAGTAAATACCACTGCTCTCTCTCCTCGGCTTCAGTTCCTGTCTCAGTGTCTTTCAGCAACTGGCTATGACTGGGAGGTAAACCTTTTTCTCCCCCAAGTTGCCTTTGGTCACAGAGTTTACTGCAGCACTAGCAAGTAGACTAAAACAATGACTAAAGAATGACTGACAGCAAAGCCTTATCTCAAACAGAAAATTCTGGTTATAGATGCCCTGAGATATTTTGGGAGTCCTGTTCATGTTCTGTCTCTTTGGTCTTTCTTGGTCTTGATTCTTCCTGTGTTCTTCCTTAGCCTAGGTAAGCCTAGGAAAGTTAACACATTCTTCATCTGGCTTTGTCATGATGACATAAAAGCCAGAAAGTCTGAGGTGAGTGTAGCAGGAAGTTTTCAGAATCTTACCAATGGAAAGAAGAATCAGTGTGGGGCAGGGGCTGGAACTTGGCTGTAGCTAAAGATGCAAGTGCCATGGCCTAAGCCTCTGGGATCAGAAACTTGTTCAACAACCTAAAGGCAACATTCCTGAACCAAGAAATCTTGAGCAAGAAGGGAGGGAATCTGGAAGTGTTGACAACACAAAAAGGAGACCAGGGACAGAGCTGGACTCTCCCTCAGGCCATTCCCACTACTAGAGAGTGCCCAGGACAATGAGGATGAGCAGTCACCCTTCCTCAGCCCATTTAGATGAAATTCCCAATTCTGTAAAACATTTCCTGCCCTCAGAATTTCAGATATTCCTCCTGGCCATGTATCCCCAAACACTAGACAGATTATTCCTGTAAGTGTTGATAACAACCCATAAGATAAAACAGTACAGAACTCAAATCTACTCCTCCTGGTCATGCATTAGGTTAACTGAATTAAGTTGTTTCTTAATCTTTTTTCAGCCACTTAACGTGTATATTTGGACACAGCCATACTTATTGCCTACAATATAATTTTAGGCAAAGGATGGTGCTGGGATCTCAAATGTCTGCAAAATTATCAGTGACTGAAGGATGCTTTCTACTTATTCCAGTGAGTAACAGAGCACAGATCCTTATGGTTTCAGGAGGGAAAATAAAGGTCATTCAGTTAAAAGACTGTTCCTATGCAATAAAGCTGAGGAGTAGGTAGTGTGATGTGTGATCTTTTCAGTTTGATTGAATTTAGGGTCACTATGGAAACACCTCTGGGCGTGCTCATGAAAGTATTTCCAGAAAGGGTTAGCCAAAGAAGGAAGGCCTACACTGGACAAGGGCTGTACCATCCCATGGGCTGGGATAGCAGACTTAATAAAAAGGAGAGAGCTGTCATTCATCATTCCTCTCTCTCCACTTCCTAAATGTGGGTTCTATGTGACCAGCTGCCCCAGGCTCCTGCCGTTACGGCTTCCCTGTCATGCACTGTGCCCTCACACTGCGAACCAAAATAAGCCATTCCTTCCATAAGTTCTTCTGTCAGTTATTATTGCCACTGCAATAAGAAAAGTAACAAATGCAGACAGGGAAAGTGGCCAGTGAGGATAACTGAGAAAATAGTGGGGAAGGAAGGGAATGGAACAAAGATTCTCATCAATGTCATGACTGCTGAGTCATGGAAACAAAGCTAGAAGGTAGATTCATACAAAAATTTAACAACATAAACCACGTGGAATATTTCAAGAAACAGTTGACTGTAATCTGAATGTCAAAGTTTTCTCATTAGAGGTACTCTAGCCTCTCCTTCAGTCCATTGGGCTATGGCACAAAGGCACACAAAGAAACTGTGGCGCCACCCTGCTTTGTTTAAACCAAAGCTAGCATACATAGGCTTAGCTGTGGGCAAAGTTCTTCCTTCCAGCAAACTTAACACTGAACGACTCACGGACTCCTGGTCACTGTCCAGAAATTGGCCCCACCTCAGTAATGTTCAGTGATTGATGCTGGGTTGAGGATGGCTAGAGATTTTGATTTAAGAATGATGCAGAATAAGTCTCAGTCTGAGGGCTAGACATCATTACTTGGGGTGTTATTCCTATATCCTTTTATTTCATCATGAGGGTACACACTGTGTAGCAAGAAACAAATCTATGAAACTTGTGCAGGACACATGGTGACATAAACTATTGCATTAGTTTTCTGAGACTGATGTAAAAGTTACCATATATTGATGACTTAGATGTTTACTGCCTCTCATTTCGAAAGGCGAGAAGGCTGAAATAAAGGTGCAAACAAGTATGAATAAGGCCATGCTTTCTGCTAGAGTTCCAGGGGGAATCTGGCCCTGGATCATGTTGTCTTTCACAATTCCTGGCACCCCACACTGCCAGCTGCATCCCTTTACTCTCTGTGGTCCCTTAGACTTCATCCTTCTATTTCTCTATTTCTAAATCTTTCTCCCTGTTATGAATGTCAGTCATTAGATTCAGGGCCCACCTTACTTATCTTGTCTGCAAAGACCCTCTTTCCGTATCAGTTCACACTTGTGCACAGGGAAGTCAGGACACATGTATTTTTGGCATGGGACACAATACATATTCAACCTTCAACAGATGGTATACAAACTACCCACTTACTCTGTTCTTCTGTTTGAATCATAAAGACACCAATCCTCACATGGCCATGCACAGCATCTTATGTATTTACTCACAGATGGAGGTGAGTGAGGCAGAGCAGGATGAGGAAACAAAGTCTAAGATTCCTAGGTTCCTTGCTCTCACCATGTGGGCTTCTAGTACATGGGAAGTCTCTCATCCCAAGTGTTAAAACTTCTTTCAATTTGCACCTGGCTCTTGCTTTTTTTCTGTCTCATATATCCTGGCTCCAACACACACAGAAAGGGTGATCTTTTGAAAATAATCTCAGCCCTCAGTGAGGACATTTTTTTTCTAGCATTCTGAAGCCAAGTTGAAAGTTCATCGGCACAGAAGACTGAGACCTGTGAGTGAGTAAAAAAAGGGAGTGTGTAGATCACACAACAATTCACTCATTTTAAAAAGTAACACCTTAATTGCTAAAAAGGTTTCAGTTTACCCTTGTTATTTCTTATCTTATATACATCAGTATGGTCATATCCTTCAACATAGTAACAGCCTATGAGTATGTTGCTGATGACATGGGTACCTTTCCCCTTTCCCTTTCAGAATGAAGATGAGGGAGAGGTCATATCCCCTTGAATTGAACTCAAACATTTATGCAGAGGAGAGGTTTCAGTTAAGACCCACAGACATTGTTCAGTGTTGGCTCTGATGGTGATTTTGGCATCACACACAAATGTCCATCTCAGAGGTGTCTGTCCAGAGGAGAGTCCAGCTGGAGGCTGGAGGTTGATCTGGATGACAGTTCTCACTCAAAGAGCTCCAGGTAGTCGGGTGGCTTGTCCTGTTGACCACAGGGATATAGCAGGAGTTCCTTCCCCAGGGAGGTTATGGGCTCCTCCTGTCAATCAAGGCACAGGGTTATGTGACAGCTGTGTGGCCGATGTCCTTGCTACCTCCTCAGGGGATATCACTCCACTACCCTAGGTTTATGAGAAGCTATATTGGCTTATGACAATCCTAAAGGACACTTTCCTACTGCCAGATTCCCTTTCCTACCAGAGCCCGAGTTCTAGAATAGGGCCACCTCAGACGTGATCAGTATGTGAAGCTCCAGTATTTTCAGCTCCAGTGGGCTGTCCCTGAATATGCCCGGAGGGTATAACAAAGGCAACACAATTAAGACTCCTCATTACCTGCAGGGATTATGTGCCGCTGCCACTCCTCAATGCTTGCCCTGGAGCTGTATTTCCAGCCCTGCCTTTCCTTGTTATATATCTATAGGATAATAATTCCTAATGCAAATTAAGCATATGAGTGGCTTCACCTTGTGATATTCCACCAGATCTGCCAGTGTGGCATGCTGCAGCTGGTCCACACCCAGGAAGCTGTAAGAGTCCGCAGACGCATCTATGAGGAAATGTTTGCAGCCTTCCTCAGACAGGTAGGACAGGGCATAGCCCTTGATCTTCTCACTGACTCGGATCAGAAAACTGCCTGGCACGCCTGTGCTCAGAAGTTCGTTTGCTTTCTTTAGTGTGAGGATCCCTGTGGGAAAAGGAGAAAAAGTCATTTCAGCCAAGTCCCTATAAACTACTCCTCTGTTCCTCCTCTTTGTATGAGTAGAGTTTGATGGAAGCCAGACAGACTATGATTCCATGTGTATTTTGAGGTCTTTGGGAATCAGTAAAAGCAAAGCAAACCAAACAAACAAAACTCCTGGCATTTGGTAACTGGACACACACACACAAAAAGGAGAATATGTCAACTTGACACAAACTAGGGTCACATCAAAAGAAGGACCCTCAGTTGAAGAATTTCCTCCATCAAGCTGCTCTGTGGGGACATTTTCTTGAGTATTGATTGATATTTGAGAGTCTAGGCCTCTGTGGTTGGCGCCATCCCTGGCAGGTGGTCCTGAGTTGTATAATTGAGCAAGCCAGTAAGCAGCATTCCTCCTCGATCACGCTCCGGTCCCTGCCTCCAGGCTCCTGCCATGAGTCCCTCCCATGCCTTCCCTTAGTGACTTGGGAGTTACACACTGGAATATACCCTTTCTCCCTCTAGTCTCTTTGGGTCAGTGTTTTATCATAGCAACACAGAAACTAGAACAGACAGTAAAAGAACTGTATTTATGAACACAGTTTCCCTTAGAGACCTATTTGGATCAACACAGGGTTGTCTACCACTGAAGAAGTTCTGGTAGGTTGCCCTGAGGGTAGTGCTGAGATCTTTTTTATATCCAAAGTGAATTTTGATGCTCTTGCACTGGCTATCAGTGAGAACTCAGTGGTCCGGGAAGTGATCTGACTTGGTCGAAAAGAGTAGTTCTGAAACAGAATCCACAGGAGATTAAAACACACCTGTTGAAAGTTTATGGTGGTTTCCTTGGAGGATGAATGAAAGGATAGTGACCCACTTGGAATGTGGGTCACACTATCTCATTGGCTAGTGGATGAGATGGAAATGAAGGGGAAAAAGAAAGCTAGTTGAGGCCTAGAATTCTCTTTTCTCAGCTTCCCGGTCCAATATGATGTGACTGGTCTCCCACATATTTGCCATGGCAAGTGGATCCCTGTCTGCCATGATGTGAAGAGCCTTTATCTCTTGTTCCTACTGCCAGTGTTTCTCTCCCATGGCACCAAATCAATATTTTCTCTCCATGGCACTGCTATCATGTGTTGTAGTCACACTAATATAAGAAGTCACATATAGAAATGTCCTGTGTTGGCCAGGTGTTTGCTGCCAGCCACGAGTATTTATTGAGACCTGAACTAGAGCTAGTCTGCCTGTGGACTCAAATTTCAGTTTTGTTTACTTAATTACTTGGTATGTGTGGCCAATAGTTACTGCGTTGAATTGCGTGATTTTAGTCCTCTCTAGAATGAAGGTTTGACCAGAACAGACCCCCCAAATTTCTGCCCTGAAGAGATCTACAGTCCTGAAGAGACTCACAGTAACTCGGCAACCTGAGCAGGCCTCTAGTTAAATATCGAAAGGACAGAGAGTGTTCCACAGGAAGAAGTCGGTAGGATGATTATTCCCATGGCATGTTCTAGAAAATTCCTACTCAATATGCAACCAGAGAGTATGGGGCATTTGGATGCCTCCTGAGCTATTTGCTCGGAGCTTGCAGAATGCCTGGCTCCCATCACCTGAGTGCTCACCTGCTCTTAGCTGTGTGGGCTCATGTACCACATGCTCCATCAGGACCATCTTGCCCTTCCCCACTTCCTTCTGACCACCAACCAATCAAACCGCTCCCACACGGACATGCTTTATATCTTCAGCACCTACCCCTGGAAAAGACCCAGCCAACTGATTCCATCTCACAATTAGCAGCTCTATGCTGCTACCACGTCAGGTTTAAGAATTATTAGAGTCAACAGATGGATGGGTGTCCTGTATGATGTGCAGCTCCCCAACCTACTTCCCATGTGCAGAAACTACATGTGGGGCATAAATGAAATATTACCAGATAATAACACAATCTGCTTCACTGAGCCCTTAAAGCAACCCTACAACGTGGTACTAATATTGTGACTCTGAGAGAAGCCTAAAGGAGATGGAGAGATAGCTCAGTGGCTGAGAGCACTTGCAAAGGACCCAAAGTTGCATTCCTAGAATACACAGGCTGAGAGCCACCTATAACACCAAGCACCCACATGGCAGCTCACAGCTCCCTGTGATTCCTGCCCCAGGGGATCTAATACTCTCTCCTGGCCTCCATGAACAAAAAGGTATCCGTGTAATGCAAATACTCTCATGCAGGCAAATACTCATATTGATAAAAATAAAAATAAATGAATATTTTTAATACTTCAGAGTGTGTTCACAGAACATAGCAGGTCCTTAGGCAGGTCAGGATAAGTGAGGCCCTGGCTCTAGGCCTTGAACTCATAGCCAAACTCCCACCCACTCAACCAGGCTACATCCTTCTCCTCCTGTGATGGAACAATGTGCTTCTGTTTACATTTCATCTTTTATTTAATCTTCAAAGTGTTCTAAGTAAGGAGAACTGGTAACATTATCATCCCCACTTTGTAGCCAAGCCTGGAAAACCAATGCCAAGGCTGCAGAATCAGGGTCTGTGCCAGATCCTCAGCTCTGGTGTTTTGCTTTTAACTCACTGTGCTCAAGACATTTTACAAATATCTATTTTACAAAGGGGTGTTCAGGCCCACCCTGAGCACCTTACAGAAGATGCATTTCTCTTAAAACGTTAAGTGTGATCTGGGAGTACAGATCCTACTAGGTGCCATTTCCCTCTCTCTTGAGGTCAGAGGACCAGTTTGTGTTCTGAGGACCAGTAGCCCTCGGTATTTTAGGCCAGACTACAGGCTGTACCAGTGCAACAAGACATTATAGCCACTGAGGGCTTCCCAGAGTCTGGCCACTAAAGATCGCCAGTTCCCGAGCTGCCGTCCAATGCTTTGCTGTCCTTCTTTGCCATCTGTGCTACGCTCCTGCCTCTGGGCTTCCCCCAAAATATGCAAAATGAAAGACTGATGGAAAATAGTATTTGCAAAGGGCACCTCTGCACTCACACGCCAACCTACCCACAGCACAGAATGAGGAGTAACTGTTTCCAGCAATTACTCCAGTCTCCAACTGCACCTGGAAGAGTGCAATACTCTCCTGTTACAGTACAAAGGTCTCTGCTTTCTCCTCCATGCACTTTCAATTCCTTCTGCAGTCAAGGTGGGGATTTCCTGAGAGGCTCTGGGACCTGCCCCAAACCCCCGCTAGGAAGAGATGAATGTGACCAAAGCTCTTAAAATGTTGTCTCAATGTTTCTCTAGTAGTTAAAGGACTAGAATTATTATCATTACCCCTTCTCATGTCCTCTTTTGATAGTTACACCTATTACCTGGTGCTTATTGTGTACCTCAATAACTCAATCAAGTTGAGTACTCTTGATCTATTAAAAGATTTGATCCTTAGTCACTTCCTGCACCATACATAAAAGTGACAGAAGTACAGAAGTTAGGTCTCTTGGCCAAGGCCACATGTCTGACTGATAGTATCAGATGTAAAGCCATTCAACCAACTCTGTACGAGTAATCTTAACCACCCCTTGTTTTCTTTGTCCCCGCCCCCCCCCCGACATAAAGAAGTAGTATCCAGCATCATATGGTTGCGGCAGGAGATATTATAAGAAAGCATATGCTGACCAAGAAAAGTGTAAGGACAAAGACCCTAATTTCTTCAATACTTTTGAAACTTCCTCCTATACAGCTCCCTCAAAGCAGAGGTACTTGCTATTGCTTCTACCATAACCACTCCACTGGACGCTGGCTTCTGGATTACCTCCCAGCTCTATGATGCAAAATTACAAAGCTACATCCTGAATCATAAGTACAATGCTTGTCTAACATGCTGGGTTCCATCCCTTCACACCCCTGTGCAAGCATACGCACACACACACACACACACACACACACACACACACACACACACACACCTTTCATCCTAGACATTTGTAAATCAAGTACATCATTTACAACACATTAGTAATGGAGAATTTAAAGTCCAAGGTCTCTCTACTCTCAACATTAATAGAAAGTACAGTAACATCTTGGTGGAAAGATCTTGACACTGAGTCATTGATAAGAAAGGCCAGGGTGTTCTGGGTATTGGGGGTGGGGGGAGAACAGCAGAACACAGCACAGAAGAACTAGAACATCCCAGAATGAACCTTGTAGCTTTAGCTTTTTTTTTTTTTCTGTTTCATCTTCTCCAGTTTAGAAGTTTGAACAAATGTAACATAGGGAACTAATGGAGAAATATAGATAATTATGAAAAGTGTCTTGATGCCACAAACGTAAGTGAAGTTTGCATGCTAAACAGAGCCCTGACAGTTTCTCCCAGGTCACACCGTGACAACCAGAGAAGAGGCTTCCTGTTCTCCTCCATGCAACACACAGGGTGACATATTTTTGCTATTGGTCATAGTCTAGTTGCTTCATGAGATGTGTGCATCCTAGATGTAACACCATACAAGGCAAACCATTGCCTGAAGCTCAGCCACAAATGTTGAAATGTCACACACACCAGTAATTTGTGCTTGGAAGGCAGCTACTTGAAAATCTCTCAGTGAAAGGTGAACAAAATTTGATATGCTGCAATTAAGAAATCTCTCTTCTGAAGCAAGGTAGTCAAAGGATGGGGCACTAATGGGCACTGATTGGCAGCCCTGCTGAGGTATATCGGTGAGCCTTTCTTAATGAAATCAGTTACCTCCACCCAGATGTGGTGGTGCCTTGTGCCCTTGCAGAAGGAGCTGGGGATACAACACAAACTGGAGAAATGGAGAAAAGTCCAAGATGGCTATCTATAGGCAACTTGAATTCCAGGTAATTTTTGAATTACCAAAAATGGAGAAAATGTACCTACCAAAGAGAGAGAGGCAGAGAGACACACCGAGAGGAATGATATAAATGTCTACAGTACGTTCCAGTAACGCCAGAGACCACTGGGAGTATAGGGATTTGCTTGTGGAGTGGCCTCAGACATAAGCTATAGAGACCACAGCATCTAGAAGGCAGAGGTTTTGTGCCACATCAGCAAAAGACATTCACAAGGAATAAACAATGATGGACTACTTCATTGAGCCCACTTATATTCTATTTGGCAACTGTTCATGACATTTCAAAAACTAATTATCAACCAGATATGCAAAGCAAGTGTGTGAGTGGAATTATTGAGCAACAAAGACTGCTTGGGAAACCCTAAACTAGAAATCTGTTTTTGTCTTCCTTTCTGTCTTCTACACTCCCAGTCTGTGGCAGTTTCTAAGGTCCCTACACTGCCACAGTTTTGTCTATTTAGGAGGGGTGAGGAAATGTTGGTGGAATGAAGAAATGAACTTGTGGTAGAATGTCAAACCTGAGTTGTGTTTATTGTTTGACCCTCTCTCCGTAAGGCCTCAGAGCAGGTTGGTGGGTGTAATAGATTATGTATCAATTCACCATGGAGACTCAGAACCTGGAGTTTCATTATGCTTGGTAAATTTGCTAGTCAGATAGGCAGGACTCTCTGGAGCTTATCATATACTTCCGGAGCACATGAGACCAAACAGAGCAGCTAAAAGATTGTGGAAACCTAGTAACTGGCTTCAAGAATAAAATGGATTAAAAACAGGGGTTGTATTCCAGGGACAAGACACAGCTGAGCTGAGAATTACAGTCCAGGACAACAGGATGTGAAAGGATAAAAATGACACAGGCAAGAAGAAATAATCCCTTTTGTCAAGGAAACCAACAGAATAGACTTAATGACAGTATTCAGAAGATCCGGAGTCTAGGAGACAGACAGAAGCCTTTCCCCGGCAGGCCCACCCCCCTGGTGGCTGCACCCTCTCCCACAAGCTCAGCCTTGACCTGCCAACTTCCCAAACAGCCAAATCCTCTGATTCTATCCCATGGCCTTCCATGTCACTATTGCCTCCTGAGGTGACCTGGCTTTTTAAGGACAGGCCGTAAGTAAGCACTGCCAAATGAGACAGCTTTTGTTGTAATTAAGCTCTGCTTTGCTGAAAAACCAAATGTTCCTTGGATAGCTGTTTCTCAAAACAGTGAGGCTGTATACAGGGAAGGCAGAAAGCACCCGGCAAAGGCGTCCTGGCTCTTCTTCTGATAAGCCAAAGCCAAAGCCCTGTTTTCTGGGCGCAGGGCTGAAGGTGGGGGTGCTGTTCTGAACTCTTCACACATGTGAGCTCGTTTGCTGTGCACAGAGAGCCCTGCACGTATTTGCCGCCTCCCCAATCACAGGGGAGAAAGTACAACTTACATCTTGGTGTTTGGGAAATTAAGTTTCAAAACTTCTTCCCCTCTTCCCTTTCTCTTCATTTCCACCCTTTGAGGAAGAAATTAAAGGCTAGGGCATTCAAAAACAAGTGTGTTGAAAGTCACCACACATACCCAGACACAGGACAGGCCCAGGAACGACATGAAAAAAACCTCACATTCACACCTCATGCTGATCCCTGGCAGTGTGGTCCAGAGGCAGCCTATAACTATAGAAAACAAACAGCAGCACATGTAACAGTAGTGGAAGGGCTGAGGAGATGGCTCGGTGGCTAACACGCTTGCTACATGACCAAAAGACCTGAATACAGATTCTTAGTACCCAACTCAGAGCTGGGTCTGTAGGTCCAGTGCTGGAGAGGTAGAGACAGGCCTATGTCTGCTGGCCAGCAAGCCTATGGCAATAAGAAAGCTCCAGGAGCAGGGAAGATCCTGACTCAGAGTGGAAAGTGGGAAAGAAAGAAGCTGTCCTCTCCACACACATGCACAGGCATGTAGACCAGCACATACATGCACATACCAATAGATCATTGTGGAGGTGGGCAGGAGAGAGGAAGGCGGGAACAAGGGAGCTGCTATGAGGGATGAATATCAGTAAAGTCAAATACACATATGTATGAAATGTCATAAGGAAAACCATTATTTCCTGTGCTTACTCAAAATATTTAAAAAAACAATAAACATGGTTTGGATGGTGAATTTTATGTGGTTTTATGCAATAATAAGCAGAAAGATGTCTGTATAGCCTATATCTATGAAAAAGCAAATTGTAGGTTGGTTGTACGTAATATAAGCCAAAAAAAATTAACAAAAAATAAACAGCACATACATGAAAACGTGTTCCTCAGAATGTGCCAGTGTAGACTAAAGAGAAGCATAGCTAGCCCAAATAATTGGTAAATGATTACTATTTAAAATATTCAAAATTCTACAAATCAAAACAAAAATTTAATAAATATCCTGGGAAAATGACCAAAACATCTGAAGAACTGTTTACAGCAAACACTTACCCATCAAATTCATGAGGTCTCAGGCTCACTGCACATCAGCCACAATTATTACAATTCCACTGTGGACCCCCAAGATGGAAGGAAATTAAATCAGGCAACACTGAGCACTGATCAGTATGAGAAAAGCAGACACTCAGGAGCAGAGATAGGCGTATAAGCCAGGATAATGGCTTCGGGGACATTTGTCAATACCCAGGACAGATCAGGTATAACTCATTCAACATGCTTGCCCACAAGCGTTTCAGATTTTGGAGGTTTTCAAATGACAACATATTTGGTAGACCTACCAGTTGAGCATTTACAACCAGAAAATATGGAAATCAAATGCCCTGATCTGAACTACTTGAGCAACATGTTAGCTCAAATTCTGAAGTGTTTCTGATTTTGGCTGCTTGGATCAGGAATGTTCAACATGCATACTAAACATACATATGTCTCTCCTTTCCAGAAATTCTGTATCTGGATATAGTCTGTGAAGAAATTCTGATATGTGGATATAATGAGAAGTGCTCAGGGGTAACACGAGGCTATTTTCTGTTGTACTAACTAGTGAACACATAAGAGGTTGTATGTCAGAGAGACAAAGCGTGTTCCACCCCGTCTCCATCATAGAAATATATGATTCCCTCTTCCTAAAATGGAAGCTAAGGATTTATACTGGCCACCGACTGCACATTTGTTATCACATTATTTATTTATCATGTTATTTATTTTGTTTATAACATGATAAATATTTGTAGAACAAATCAACAGCAATGCCATGTTTATAAAGGATTATGTGGAACACTACAGATTTATGTTTTCCTAAGCGAAGTTCCCGCTGGACTTCCAGTCCTGCCATGTCTTCCAGCTTCCCACAGCTCTTTCAGACAGAACTGCCCATTCACATATCAGAATTCTTAATGACACTGGCTAACACTTGCAATTTACATACCCTGTCATTTAAAACAAACAAACAGAAACATGACTGTTTTCATAATCAGGGACAGCAGCATACAGCCACCGTCCAAGGACACTGAAACTACAAAGGCTGACTTCCTGTGCTTATCTTGAAAGGAAACAGAGGGCATCAGACAGTGGTGTGGTGATGGTAAAGGTGTGCACAATCAGCAGAGCTCCCTCTGTCAGTCTCTGACAGCATCACAACACCACAGAGTGGTGGAAGGATAGCAGCCCTGCTCCAGGAGGGCTTGGGACTCCTCACGGAACAATCAAACCAAAGTCTGACCCTCAAACACACCTGGCAGTTCTGCTGGGACACAGACAATGAAAACAGCTGTCAGGACCCAGCTATCATGGATGAGCTGGGGGCTTTAGAAGTGGTTGCTCATGTTATGTGTTTGGGAACTTATTTTCTGTGGTCTTATTCATGTGAGCAATGACACTTCTAAAAAGTGAGATGCCTTAAACATAGTTCAAACCAAGGTACTCTAAACTATGTGCTAGTGGGAGAGATTGCCTCAGATGTAGACGTAGGTATTAATTCCAACTCAGCTACAGGTAATTCCTTCCTTCCTTTTTCCTTTTCTTTTCTGTGTTGGGGTTAGAACTGACCACTTTGTACATTGTGGGCAAATACCTCTGTCAGAGCTATAACCCAGTCCCTAACCACAGGTCTACAAAAGAAACAACAGACTTTTCTTGAGATGTGTATAAGATCAACAGAGGTTAACTGATTCTCTTAAGCCAAATGCTGGAATGATCAGGTAATACTGACCAAGGACTCAAAAATCTCCACTTTGCAGACTTGCTACAGCATCAGAAAGAAAGGATCAAAGTCACAGGATTCTGTAAGGCTAAATTGCTCCAGATTCTCATTTAAGGGGTGAGGAAACTGGGGTTTAAGCAGGTTGAACAGCTATAGAAAGAGGAGGTTGAGCAGCTTTAAAAAGACAGCACTGTTTTTTCCAGGTCACTAAACTAGTTAAAGGTCAGAGCTGGCCTTCTGCCTGCTAACCCTGTCCCAATGCATCAAGCAGCCCCCACTGACACAGCAGCACGTGCCGAGTCACACTCTCCTGCTGCGTCCCTGGGACGCCCTGCTTTCCCACACATCCTGGAGTATCGTATGTGGTGAAATTTACCTACATCATGTGCCGTGGCCATGGCTGCTGACTGATTACTAAGTAGGCGCAAGAACGCACCTCTCTGCAAACCTTTTAAGAAAACACTTCTTGGAAATAATGAGAAAGACTCCATTAGTGCAGCACAAATAAAGAGGGGAGAGAAAGCCCTATTGTCTGTCTCTCTTGGCACAGCACTGCTTGGTCTGCCATCAGAGATGGGCTCAGTACTCACCATGGAACCAGGGAGCAATGGTGTCTGAGTTTTTCTGGTAGCCTGCACGGAATGGCAGCTGCTCCTCTTTGAACCATCGAATGATGTCCTTCTGGGCGGAGCTGGACTCTGTCCTTATCACTCCCTGATTCCTGTCATGAGTAACATGATTCACAAGTTAGGGCTAGATAATTTGAAACAATGTCCTCCATTCTGCTACACTCATAGGTCAGTGTCTTGTTCAGCTACCATCAGAGGATCTTCCTACCACAGCTAGAAACTAATTCAGAGACCAACAGCAAGACATTCTGCAGAAAGTGAGAGACCTTAAAACACTCAGCCCTAAAACGGACATCTTCATCAAACCCCTTCCCTCAGGGCTCAGAAAGCTATGTGGAAGATGAGGCAGAAAGAGTGTAAGAGCCAGAGAGGACTGAGGACATCAAAGAAATGGTGTTTTCCAGATACAACAGGACTGGCACACACAGAGACTCACAGAGACTGTGACAGTGCAGAAGATTGCATAGGTCTCAGTCAGAGGGGCCCAGTGCTGAGGGGGAAGTGGGCATGAGCTCTCACCCCTAACCCAAAAGCTATCTCCAAGTGACTGCCACGTGCAAAGAAAAACTCAGTTTTCTCACTGGGTATACAAACTACACTTAAAGGAGGCCCATGTCCTACACAAAAGAACTCAATGATGTTTTCAGAGATTTTTGTTTGTTTGTTTTGTTTGTTTTGGTTTTGGTATCAAATGCTTTATTTGGTCTTTTCTTTAAAATCTCACTTTTGATTGTATATTATGATTTCCAGTTTTGTATTTTTAAGGGTCTGTGTGTGTGTCTTACACTTTTTCACTGTGTTTTTTAAGGTTTTTTTTTTGTTTGTTTTTTAATTCTAGTTCATTTGCCTGTTTGTTTTCCAAACAAGGTATGCATTCAGATGGGTGGAAGGGTGGGAAAGACCTGGGAGGAGATGAGGGAAGAAACCTGTGACCAGAACATATTTATAAATTTTCAATAAAAAATAAGCTTATGGTAATTTATGATAATCTGATTATAAATGTGGTATTTTTATCTGTAATTTAGAGATTAAAGTACAGCAAGACTATGAATACATTACAGGCAAATACTATACCATTTTGTATAAGGGGCTTGAGCATCCTTCACATTTTGATCTCTTCAGGGGGTCTTGGAATTGTCCCCACAGATACTGAGGCACAACTGTATACAGGGAGGGAGAGAGAGAAGGAAGAGAGAATTTGGAGGGAAGAGGGAGAGGGAGAAAAGAAAGGAGGAAGAGGTGAGGGAAGAGAATTATATGCATTTCTATTTCCAACATCTAATCACAGGCAGAGTTAATGGTAGGTTGGGTCCCTTACATGGCACCATTGTGTGGCTCTTCAAGACTAGAGAGAGGAAAACATTCATTTACCTGGTCCTCACGGACCAGTCACAGCAATAACTACAGCTGTGTTAGGCTCAAATTCATTTCACTATGGGTTAGAAGATTCACTACCTTCCAATTAAGATCTGAGAAAAGAAACACTGAGAAATCGAAGTCACTTTCCTGGGGAACATGGCCATGCAAACAAAGGAGGCACATGTAACATGTAACGAGGTAGCTGCCTCCTTAACTTGTTCATTTTATTTATTTATTTTTAATTTTTTAATTTTTAAATATTAGTTACAGTTTATTAATCACAGTTTTTGGTTTTTTTTTTTGTTTTGGTATCATAATGCTTTATTTGGTTTTTTCTTTAAAATCTGTATCCCAGCTGTATCCCGCTCCCTCATTCCCTCCCAATCCCACCCTCCCTCCCTCATCTCCTCCCTACCCCTTTCCAAGTCCACTGATAGGGGAGGTCCTCCTCCCCTTCCATCTGACCCCAGCTTATCAGGTCTCTTTAGGACTGGCTGCAAAGTCCTCCTCTGTGGCCTAGCAAGGCTGCGCCTCCCTTGGGGGGAAGTAAAGGAGCCAGTCATTGAGTTCATGTCAGAAATAGTCCCTGTTCCCCTTACTAGGGTACCCACTTAGATACTGAGCTACCATGGGCTACATCCGAGCAGAGGTTCTAGGATAGATCCATACATGGTCCTTGGTGGAGAATCAGTCTCAGAAAAGACCCCTGTGCCCAGATATATTTGGTCCTTGTGGAGCTCCTGTACTAACTCCCCCTTCTTTCTTATGATTCCCTGCACTCTACCAAAGATTTGGTTATGAGTCTCAGTATCTGCTTTGATACACTTCTGGGTAGAGTATCAGAGGCCTGGAGCCTACCACAGAGGGCCTCTTAACTTGTTCATTACTTGCTTTCTTCATTTCTGCTCACTTCCCTCACTCACTTCCTCTCACACTTCAAAGAGCTTTATTTCTTCTAAAAGAGTGGAACAAGAAGGTAAAGGGGTCTGCAGAGCAGGGAGGGAAAATTAGCAACAGCACCACCTTGAATAAATTCAGTGTCACAAGGAACCCCTTGTGGAGCGGGTGGGTTGCGCTTCAGAAGGCAGCACAGCGACATAAGCATATTCCCAAACCCCATTTAACAGGCCACTGGATGAGCAGAATCTAAATCTAAAACAAGGAGATTGAATGAGCCACTGGAATTTTCTGTGATACAAATTAATGTGGCTCTTTGTGCTTCTGCTGGCAACATGCCAGCCCATGAGTTCCAGGTAACACGTCGACTCTGCAAACACGCATACATACATGTACATATATATGGAAATGTGGGTATGTATTATCATTTATGACATTCAGAGGATTTGTAATATTGGAAGCAGACCTTGCCATACACATGAGATTATGTAACAAATTCTCATATTAGCTTCCTTTTCTTCACATAGTCCTCCGAGATGGAGCAAACCTCCACATACATGGGACAGGCTACCATCTGTCTTTCTCTGAGTTGGCTCCTTCCTGGCTGACCTCTGTCATAGCTGCCCAGAGTCCCAGGCCTAGCCCTGTCCACTCTGACACACAGAGAGCTCTTCTACATCGCCTTAAGTTGGAAAAAGATGAGCTGAGCACAACTGACAAGAACTGTCTCCTACCCTGTAAAAGGCCACTTTCTTTGTCATCCATCAGATATAATATGTCCTAAAAACATTATAGGAAAGAGACATAGCCCAGGCTACCCCATGAAGGTAGAAAACTAGAAAAGGCTGTTCGTGAAGCTCCATAGCCAGAGTTACACTAAGCAAAACCATGTGTGGGAGTCCATCTGTGGCACGTTACAAAGCTAGGTATTTCCTGACTTTATTTTTAACTGTGAGGGGGAAAATAAAACTTCATTTCCTGAACTGTGTACAGGGTCATTTTGTGTCGGCTGCCACATCTCAATATGGAACCTTCAGTGTAGTACGTAAAAATAATTACAGCAGGAGAAATGATTCACCCTGTGTTTCCTCTGAGGTTATAACCCCCAGTTAGGAAAAAAAAAATGATTAAAAATATTTAAAAACAGAGATTTTTTTTTTTCATTTTGCCAAACTGTTGAAGAGAGGGGGCTGTCCTAGATTTGCTCTGTAGACCAGGCTGGCCTTGAACGCACAGAGATCCTCCTGCCTGTCTCCCCTGGTGCTGGGGTTAAAGGTGTGTGCCACCACGTTCGGCTGCCGAACTCTTCACAGATAAGTATATTTAGTTTCATTTCAGAAGGTACTGCTAGACACAGTGTGAATCATATGATAATGTTTCATTCTGAATTTTGGACCATTAGGGCTGAAAATATATCTCAGCGAAAGGCTTTGGGTTTGCCCTCTACTACAAGCAAACAAATAAATATTCGAACATTTAATCTGTAGAATGATCCTGTAAGTCAGAAAGAAGAATTTGGTAGTCAGTGAACAGTAGGGATGCAGTTGTCTTCTGGATATCACTGTTTTTCTCTTCTACCGCTCAGCACATACTGTGCCTAGAATGTATAGGCACTTTCACTGCCAAATAGAGACTTGGTTCAGAAATGGAGCATTTCAAAATTCTGAAAATATGACCTTGGCTCCGTAGGTAAACAGAACTGCCATTAAACCCTGACTCCAGTAAGAAGTTGTCCTAGGGGGCTATGGAGAGAGAGCACCTGCCTGTTTTTTTGTTTTTTGTTTTTTGTTTTTTTTTTTACTATTGCAGGCAATGTTGAGCCTCAAACACTTTTCCAACCCTCATGTTCCAGTTTCTTCTTCCTGCCAGCTTGCTACCTCTGGGTGGAGGTGGGGAACAGGAAATCATCTAACTAGACTTCTTCACCCTGCACTGAGTTCTAACTATAGCCACTGTGGATATCTTACAGGAAAGAAAGGAACCAAGGAAGCAGCATCAGAGGCGAGGCTGTGTTAACCTAAGCCAGCCCGCCACACAGCTTTAACCAGCCCATCCCGGTGCTGTGGTGAAAGCCACCTGTGTGGCCTCTTCCTTGTTGTTGGGTTTTGTTGTTGTTTTTGAGACAGAGCAGCTCGGAAGAGTGGGCTGACCTCAAACTCTGAGCTCCTCCTGCCTCTGCCTCCCGAGTGCTGGGATTAAAGGCGTGTGCCCCCACGTCTTCTTACCCTAAAGACTTCGGAGGGTTTCCTGGCAGGTGTAAGAACTGGGGCTTTGGGGGCAGGGGCGGTCTTCTGGGCTTCTGTGGCGCAGTCAGAGGGCTCTGCCGCCCATCGCCGCTCCGTCCCCTTTGGGATAACCTCTTGTAGTCTTCCCGTGCCTGCTTAGCTAAGGAGCGTCTCTTCTCATCAGCCGCCTTGGATTTTCGCACTAGGACAATAATGCCTGAGTTAGTCTATCAGGCTCACCAAAGGTTGCATTCAGAGCCCACGACACAGGAGATGCAGCCCTGCACAGCAGGGCCCTGGGAAGGCAGAGCTGGCCTGGTGCTGGTATTAACAATCACTCCCGGTACCTGTTAACCGCATTTTAAGGCCTCTGCTGGGCTCACTGCAGTTCGAACCTGCCTTTGGAGCGAGGGAGATTATGAGAAGAAGAGGAAAGAAAGACAAAGGAGAAGGAGAGAAGAAGTGGAAAATGTAAAGCAAGATTAAGTTACTGCACTTAGCAAAACTAAACCGTGAGGGCTAGTCAGAGAGACACAGAACACCAGAGGCCAGTATCACATCCCTGACACAATTATGGTCAGGATGCAGTGCATCCCAAGTCACTGGCAAACGTGGGAAGGACTTCTCAGCAGCGGTGAGCTAGGACAGGAAAAACAGCTCTCACAGCCATAGCCCACCACATTCTTACTGGAATGTGAATAAACACGTTGTGGAGGATTTCAGAACACCTTAGTGAATATACAAGCACTTCCCAGTCTGCGTTTTAACTCTAATTTTGTTCTAAAAGATGTTTTAGCCACATAGTGTCAAAGATTAATGCGGGATGCAGTAACCTATTTTTTGGTTTTAGATTTTATAATTTGGGCATTGTGGGTTAAATCCTGTCATGTTTGACTTTGAATACATACAAAAAAATATTTCATCATACCAGAGTTTCAGTGCTTAGCACAAGAAGGCCACAGATCGGATCTTGCAAATATTTTTGTTTAAGAAAAAAGTGGCATTTGTTATAAAGGAGCTGCAGGCCAATCAACATCCTGAAAATCTTGCCACTTGGGTTCTGCCTCTCAAGGGACAATCAGACAGGCAAGTCTTCTCTGTTGATGGCAGGCGAAGACGCTACTCCATTCTCAAGCCTGGGAGCCATCCTCTGCCTGTCCTGTCCTTCCTGTTTTGGCTCTAGCAGTCCAAGCTCAAAAGAGGGCCAGTGCCAGGTCAGAGGCATATAAGCATAAAAATTATGGAAATATATCCCAGCTGTCAATTCTGTGTGCTTTATATTACAAAGTTATGTGGTGGCCATTTCATAGCATACCCCATAAGGACAACTGAGATACATCAGGTTTTTTTAACTGTTTAAAAATATATGCACTATTGAGAACTTGGGGGGGGGAACCCAAAGCAGAATAACAAGAAGTACAACTCAAATAAATAATTTAAAATCCAACTTCTCCATGAAAATCAAGGGTTACATGTTAATAATCTTTGTTTTCTTTCTTCAATATTTAGAATTTTAAATAGTGATATTTTTATACTAGTTATAATTTTTCTTCTCCAAAAAAGACATATTTTAATGCCATTAAATATTCCTCCACAAGATATTTTTCATCGCTATATACAATTCAACCATACAGAAACACTATAATTTAACAGCACTAAGATGAATGGAAAGCCATTCTGCTACACAGGCCTCTGAGTAGTTATCACTTATTGAGTGAGAACTCAATGGCTTCTCACGGATGTACTTTCTGTGACTCCCAGTTGGATCAGTTTTTAGGTGGAAGGTCCAGCTGAGAGCCCAGATGGTGTGCTGAGGCCCCTAGGTACTCACAAGATGCCTGCCATTCCGAATCTTCTTTCCAGCTCTTGTATATCTGCTTGGTTTTCTCATCCTCTGTTTGTTTTAGTTCTTCATCTTCTTTTTTCTTTATGAGTTCTTTAGTCTGTTTGAAGATACAAATAGAGGTTCGAAGAGGTGAAAGAAAGTAACAGTTTCTCTAAGAGGACAGAAGGCACCCTTGTTTCTATCTGTCTCTTCCCACTAGGGAGGTGCTTGGTGTCAGCAATGTCTGGAGTAAGAGCTTCAGCTACCTCAGTAAGCCAGACTCTGATCCTGATCCTCTCAGAGGCTGCTTCCCCAGAACACAGTGAGAAAGAATGTTACATAGAGTTATAGTGAGAATCTGTGTTTTCAGAAGTGCCTAGCTCAATGCATAGCACATATATGACCTGACTAAGAAGCCCTTCCCAGACACGGCACTCAGCTATTCCTAATGAGTTTCTCTGAAGTAGACCTGCAGAGTCATGGGACCAGAGCAAACACTGATCTGCTGTAACTGAGGGTTCCTGAAAGCAGTCTCAGCTGCGGTCTATATTCTCTCCAACCTTCTATCTAAAACTTGCTATGTGATTTGGAGTGGCTCAAACAGGAATGAGGCTTTTCTTTTTTTTCTTAACATACACACAAAAATGTCACCTTTGAAAGGGGAAAAACACTACAGAGTGAGTACAAGGTCAGCACAAGCAGTCTTGTGGGTCATGGATAAAGCTCTATTGTGAAAGCTCTATTACTGGCTTGCCTGGTATGTACAATGCTCAAGCTCAAGAGGAGAAGACGATGATGGTGACGATAAAGACCGTGTAGATGATGTGCCTTTCCAGCCACAAAGATGGGCTAAATATGAAAAGCACTTGCCATGCCAGCATGAGGACCTGAGTTTGAATTCCTAGCATCCATGTAGTAGCTGGGCCTGAGGGTATGTGCTTGTGACCCCAGTGCAGGTAGGATGGACACATGGATCCTAGGGGCCTGCTGGCCCTCCAGTCTAACTGGAAACATATTCCAGGTTAAGTGAGAAACCAAGTCTTACAAATATACAAAGCCGTAGAGAAAGATATCCAACACTAACCTCTGGCCTCTACGCGTTCATTCACGTTCTCTCACAGGTTTATACCATGCCCTCCCACCCTACCCACAAATGCACACAGGCTCACTTGTCCCTTGTGAGTATGTCACCACAACTAAAATATAAATCTTGATGGGAACCTTGATCACTGTAGAAAACCAGAAACCAGCAATAAGGTAGTAATACCCTGACACTGTGCTTAACTAAATTTGTATATGTCTTCCATTTCTACTTTTTTTTTTTTAATATTGTTTTCCTGCCTGGAGCCAAGCTCTTACAGTTTGTCTCACAGTGTTTTATGAAATTCAAAAAAACAGTTTTTGGTGGCTGAAATGACTACTAACATTTGACATCCTTTACTGGAGCTGTTTATGAGCCTGAAGTACATAAATGTATTGCTCTAGATTTTCACACTTGAGCAGAAGGAAGAAGAAAAAGAAAAGAAAACAAAATAAAACAAAAACATCCTTAAGAGAGAAACCTTGCTCACCTGGTATAACTTTTCCAGGGAAGTTGTGAACAAACTAGTTATGAAAGACTGAGGAAACAGGGAGGTTCCTGGGGTGCTTTCAGGAGCACAAACAGACTGAAAGGCAGATGTACGCCAAGTCCACCCCGGCGCAGTGACCACTCATGAAAGTCTGTCCTTGAGCTGTTGGCCCAATTGCAGGTAGATCCACTCAAAACCTATAATTTACGGCTTCTCTAACTTTGGACTAGATGGTGATGCTTGTAACTTCTCCATCTTTGCGCCTCCCTTTTCCTCCCTCCTGGATGGAATGTCTCAGCACAGAAACCAGCTATGCCGCACACATGCATCTGTATTTACCTAATCCCTGTCTCTCCGGCCTCATCTCTGTCTCTCCTCGTGTGTGTCCATATGTGTAGAAGTGAGAAGGAATGCAGAGGCTAGTTCTCAACGTCAAGTGTCTTCCTCAGTCATTTCCCGACCTTCTTTTTGTGACAGGTTCTTTCATTGAGCCTGGAGCCCCTTGACTGGCTGGCTTAAACTGGCCGGCAAGCCCCACATACTGCCTGCCTCTGCCTACCTCCCTCTGAAATTATAGGCATGTAGCACTGCACTCACATTTTTACCTGAGGACAAGAATTCAGGCCCTCATGCTTGCACGGCGACCAAATTAACAACTGAGCCATGTCCCAAGGTCCTGTTGTGTATTTCTCAAAACATATTTACCACATCAGATTCGGACTTTGACCCATTCGATGCTCAGGATGAACAAGAAGCTGGACAACAAACTTTACTTTTATTTCTGTGTACGCGTGTGTGCACACGTGTGTATGTGCCCTTGTTGGACAGAAGAGGGTTCTGAATCCTTTGGGCTCTGGACAAGCTGTGTGCTGCATAATGCTGGCGGTTGGTGGGAATACAACCAAGAGCCACGAGCACAGGGTTCTCTTAATGGCCAGCTCCCTCAGGGTCTCCTGCCCAGACTGTTGTTGAAGTTTAAAAAGCTAATCCACTGCAGGAAAAACATTAAGAAAATAACAGAGAGTGCCTGTGATGGGTGATAATCACATGTCTGAGAATGCTATATTTAGTAAACCCAAACCTTTCTTCTCTATAGTGTAATTATACAGGCACCGTGGGGAAGGAGATAAAATGAATGAGCCTCACAAGTTAATAGCAGATGAGATCTGGCCCTGACCTTTCTGTTTATTCAAAGCTATAAAAGTAACTCTTTCTAAGCTAATATCTGAGAGGGGGGAGCTTGTTTTATCACCTTTGTTTGCTGGAATCTGGGGTTAACCTTCTCATTCATTCTCTCCAAATTACCTGCCATCATGCTATGGCTACATCAAGTGTGCTTTCTCCTCAGTGTCTTTGTGCCTGGAGTTCCCTCTGCCTGGACCACACTTCCCTCCGATCCGCCCACATTGGCTCTCCAGGACACTGCTCCAGCATCTCCTCCCTACAACCACCTTTTCCGAACACCACCACCTCCCAGCAACCCCCAGCCTCCACATTTTGCTTTATTTTCTCCAGAGTTCTTATGATTATAAGACTTCACGGATACATTTATCTTTTCCCCCTCACATCCAGAATGTAAGCTTCCTGAGAGAAGAAATGGTTTTATAAAATATGTCTTCAATTTGTACACCTATTCGCGGTGCATAGCAGGCATTCGGCAAATGTTTTTTTTTTTGTTTGTTTGTTTGTTTGTTTGTTTTTTTCAGGGTCTTTGTTTTCTTTTTTTTCTTTTTTTTTAATTTTATTTTTCTTTTTAGTTACATTTTGTTAACTCTGTGTCCCAGCTGTATCCCGCTCCCTCATTCCCTCCCCAACCCCACACTCCCTCCCTGGTCTCCTCCCTGCCCCTTTCCAAGTCCACTGATAGGGGAGGACCTCCTCCCCTTTCATTTGACCCTGTTTTATCAGGTATCTTCAGGGCTGGCTGCAAAGTCCTCCTCTGTGGCCTAACAGACTGCTCCTCCCCTGGGGGGGGGGGGTTCAAACAGCCTGCCCTTGAGATCCTGTTAGAAATAGTCCGTTTTTTGAATGAAGATGTGGCCTGACTTTTTCAACTTTCATCATTTAAGCTGATACAATTTAATTGGGGACAGTGGTGTTAAAGTTTTTCCTATTTCCAGCATGTAGACATTTTTTCAATGTTTAAGACCCCCTGACAACACTAAAAATCTCTAGATACTAAGTCTCTCACATTAAAAAAAAAGTTCAGTGTTTGCACTTAACCTATATACTTCCTCTTGTTTATATCAAATCATCTCATTCATAATGCAAGGTAAGTATTTTCCAAATGTTTGTTGTATATGGTCCGTACAAATGCAGTATTTTTCATATATTTGTGATGAATCAACATATTTATCTGGTTGGTTCAACAGATATGGATGGAGGTTTCTTTCCACTGTCAATACACAGGAGGGCTAGCATTCCAAAAACACAACATTATTCCTTTTAAAGACTTCACTCATTCCCTCCTTTGTGTGTGTGTGTGTGTGTGTGTGTGTGTGAGATAGACAGAGAGAGAGAGAGAGTCTATCTACCTGTGAGTGTACATATATGGAGAGGACGGAAGAGGGCATCTGGTGTAATCCTTTATCACTCTCTACCTATTCCTTTAAGAAAGAATCTTCCCTGAGCCTGATGCTTGTGTTTTCTTTGTTAAACTAGAAGCCAGAAACACCCAAATGGTGGTTCTGCTTCAACCCCTCTTAGAGAGGGCTACAGGAGTGTGTGTGTGTCTCCCAGCTTGTTATATGGATACTGGTGTCCAAACTCCAGTTCTCAGAATTGTACAGCAAACAAGCATTCTCAATTGTTGAGTCATCCTTCAAGCCCTGAATGTTTCAGAACTGTAAGTTGACCCCATTAGTTCATGTCAATAAAGAAGAGTTGGGAAATAGACTACATGACCCACAGGAACTTCTAGACAGCCTCATGGAACGCCCAGTCTTGGGTCTGGATCCATTAGAAAACTTCTCATCTTGGGCTTGTGTTTTACCATGAGTTTTCAGATTTACTGTGGGTCAAATCCTACCACAATCTACCCCTAACTTACAGTGAACAGCCTGTGATAAAATAACAATCTAATATAGTGACAAAAGCAGGGCTTGCCCTGTAGGGACAAGGTCATGCCTGGATGGATGGAAAAGCCATCCCAGGCACAAAGACTCAGCTCAATAGAAACTGTCAGCAGAAACTGCTGCTCACTCACTGCCTGTAGTGAGGCTCACAGAGACAGCAAGCACACTTGAGCAGGACTCAGGGTTGGTGCCAAGCTTGATACCATTGGTCACGCTCTAAAACCAGTCTTCCCTGGATGCTCACAGCCACTGGGGATGTCGCCTCTGTCTCAGCTCTTCTGTGAGGAGTTCAGTAGATACATCTTGGCATCTGTTCATTGCATGACATCTAAGATGTTCCCAACTCAAGATAAATGGGGAAAGATGAATGGCTGTGTTTGTGGCTTTGGAGACAGATTTCACATTCTGCTGCCTAATTTCATATCTGCATGAGCCTAGTTAAGTAATTTGTAAAACATTAGTGGAAATGGCTA